TGGAGATGACCTTTCGCCCTTTCCATGATTAGGTGACAGTAGGATATATTACACAGTATCAGCTAAATATGTTCCAAATTTGCAAATTCTATTTGACACATCCATTCTACTTTTCTTGGTGCAGAATTTTGTAGCATTTTTATAGTATGGACCGTATACATTTTTGTTTTGTGGTAACATGCTTGCTTAGCGCTTGCAGCAGGAACCTCCGGTGGCACAATGGGTTAAACCCTTGTCCTGGCAGGACTGCTGACCGAAAGGTCAGTGGTTCAAATCCGGAAAGTAGGATGAGTTCCCGTCTATCAACTCCAGCTTCTCATGCGGGGGCATGAGAGAAGCCTCCCACAGGATGGTAAAACATGCGGGCATCCCCTGGGCAATGCCCTTACAGACAGCCAATTCTCTCACACCAGAAGCGACTTGCAGTTTCTCAAGTTGCTTCTGTCATGAAAAAGATGGTAAGACTTTTCTTTGAAACACATGGTCAGATGACTGGAAGATCTGCCCTTATTGCTAAATCTGCCATGTTAAAATTTGCGGCATATAAATGCCAAGAGATTTAGCTCATTGCACATGGCAGGACTCAGACTTTACTGCCCTGGAGAAAGTTTTGAGAAATGTGACACTTTGAAAACAACATATTAGAAGATGTGATGTGGTGTATATATTTCTTTGGATTAAATCACACTAGCAGATGCAGACAGAATTGGGACAGAAAAGAGTTGCAGAGTATTAGAGCACATATTATCTGTGCAGATCCATTTTCAAGTTAAAGGGATCAAGGATGGCAATGATCTTTCCCCAGGGTCCTGGAGAGCTGTTGCTAATCAAGAGCAGAAAGTATGTTGTAGTTCATTAGATACTAAGCTGGAGTCAAAAGATCCAAATTCAGGTCACCAGTGCGAGAATAAACTCACATTGAGCTGTTGTGTTTGACTGTTGTTTAGCTTGACTGCTGCCACAGAGTTGTTGAGAGTTTGGGAGAATAGCCATATAAGTTCATAGAGGGAGAGGCAGGTTTGAAATGCAACAGATAAAATAGAAAATACGGGGCTTGTGGAATGGATCTAAAGCATGTCCTGATGATCTGATTGACCTTCTCTACATTGCCCAGGTAGTCTTTTCATTCTGATATTTAGGAGACCCTAAGAAATCTGGAAATTCCCTTCGCTTCAGCTCACTTGGAAGTTCTTCGAAGAGAACAGAAAGTAGTCTCAAATGTTTATTCCAAATGTGCTCAGTGCAACACACCCACGTTACTGTCACTTGTTCCTGAACCAGTTTTATTCTGCATGGTCTCTTTGACTGCGATTCCAAAGGCTGTTATTAAAGCCAGATGAAATCTAGCTGAAGCTGCTGCCTTCAGTCTGATGTCTTTTGTGCTAGAAGCAGAGAAGTAGCACAGCTGCATATTCTTGGCAGAGGAAGGGACATCAAAGAGTTTCTGGCCCGAATCCTCTCCCTTCCCACCCACTCCATGCTAGGGCTTGATAGAAAGTGCAGGTCTCCTGTGATTATGATGTATCTGGCTCATGGAAAATCTTGCAGTGCATCTGTTCAGTATGGAGTGGCAGGAGAATGTCTGTAGGAATCTTAGCTTGTTTGTTTAAAACAGGTTATTCCGTTGCATTTTGGTGGATGTAAATCACTCACACTGCATAACAGCAAATCATGTTTTGATTAGAAACCCATGTATCTGTTTTCTCCCTCCTTACATTACTTTCTGGCACAACCCATAATATTTAACTCTGAACAGAGGCTGGGCAACTTGGACAATTTTTCCTTTTTTTTGGGGGGGGGGGATGTGCAAACCACCCAAAATGCTCTCCCACCAAACAATAGAAATAAAACCAGAAGTCTCCTGGGTTTGAACTATTGAGATTAAACAATGCAGGGAGGTCAGATATTTGTTTTTTTTTTTGTTTTCAGGGCCAAAAGATCAATTTTCTTTCAGCCCATTAATTAGGGGGGGGGGGCTTCACCGGTAGGCCCAAAGCACCTGGGTCTATGGGTGCAGGCTTTGGGCCACTCACTCAGGCCTCACAGGTCCTGCAGCCAAGCGCTCCTTACTCGACTCTCAGCTGTAGGCACTTTGCTTTGGGCCTATGCGCCTGGGCCTGGCACTCGACTGCAGACCCTTTTAGGCCCTAGGCAGTCAATCTGAAAAGTAGGCTTGGATCCGGTACCCGCTCCTGCCTGCCTTCCGTATTGATTGCATTTTAGTTCCAGGAGGGGCCTTTCTGTTTCGTGCCATCCAAATGGACAGAACGAAACTGAAACACGAATCAAACTAATGGGACAAATTTCAGGCCCATGACTAGTAGCTTCCATTACAAAGCAGCCCATCGTAACATCATATCTGAATCTGGTTAAAATGATTGACATATGTGAATGAAGTAACTGTGGCTGGTGTTTGCCATCCAAACTATGGCTTGCAATCCTGATTCAGAAGGCATGTAAACCACACTTTGCTGTCTTGGATGTAATTACAAATCACAGTTTGCATTTTGATTCAATCTTTATACTCTTGTGGGCTGTTCTGCAGCTGAAGCAATGACGATGGCACTTGAATGGGAGCCTATGGTTGTTTCCTTATATGGTATGTCCTATTTTTTTTTGCCCCACCCCAAAATGATTTGTGTCCATTTAAGAGTGTGGCAGAGCCAATGTCTAGTTTGCATCCATGTGATAGGCAACCTTTCAACTGTGCAGCTAATGCAAAATTGTCCAAACATGTCAGGGCAAGTACGTGTAGCATGGACAGGAAAAATTTACCGTGTGATCCTTGTATCCACAAAACCAATATATACAGTTTCACTTATCTACAATTTCACTTAGTACTCTACTGTACAAGCTACACCTTCTTGTCCATCTGAAAATAATAGGGTTCACTATTACTCTGCTTTTGTTAGACCTAACCTGGAATACTGTGTCCAGATCTGGTCACTACAGTTTAAAAGAGATATTGACAAGCTGGAAGGTGTCTAGAGGAGGGCTAGTAAAATGATCAAAGTTTTGGAGACCATGTCCTGTGAGGAGCATCCTAAAGAGCTGGGTATATTTAGCCTGCAAAAGAGAAGATTAAGAGGAGACATGATAGACATGTATAAATATGTGAAAGGATGTCATAAGGAAGGGGGAGCAGACTTGTTTTCTGCTTCCCTGGAGATTCAGAGCAATGCTTTCAAATTACAGAAAAGGAGAGTCCACCTGAACATTAGGAACTCTCTGCCTCAGAGTGTGCTGGAAGCTCCTTCCTTGGAGGCTTTTAAACAGAAACTGGATGGCCATCTGTCTGGGGTGCTTTGATTGTGCTTTTCCTTGTATGGCAAGGGGTTAGACTAGATAGCCCATGTGGTCTCTTCCAACTCAATGATTCTATGATATACAATTCCACTTATTCACCCAAAGCCCAGGAATGCATCTCCTACAGATCCAGGAGTCATACTGTACAAGAAAACAGAACATCCTTCGTTCACATCTTGCAAATAATGTCAATTTACTGGATGGCCACTTGTTCTCAGGCTCCTCCTTACCACCTCCAGCAGGTATGATCATAGGTCTCATTAACCTTTACAAGAGGAGCGGAAGGATTGCCCTAGGTGATGCATGTAAAGTTCTTTGAAGTCTTGAATACTGTATGTAAACGCTGCTCTTATCACAATGATCATCATTGTTATGATTGCCGAGATAAACTGCTTGACTGGGCTGAGTTGGAGTTTGCCTTCAAGTGAGCAGCCAAGTGGCAAACAGCATCTGCTATTTATCTGTTGCCTTCTGCCCCAAGAAACCCAACACATGTTCCCCTGTTTCTCTCTTTAGCTCTGGAGATTAAAAGGCATACAGAATGTGCAATGATCGCAGAACAGCTTTGTTTCCAATAATTGAGGGGGGAAAGGAAATTGTGCTTCCTTATGTTTTATTTCTCCATGTAAGATTGGAAATGGGCTGGGATATATGAGCAGAAGGCATATGTGGTCAGTAGTTTTCAGACCTGAGGTCTACCTTTGGCTCAAATATTTTGGAGGCCAGGTCTTCTCCCTAATTTGAAACCATACGATTAAATGGTGAAAGTCCTCTTGTTGTAACCCTTGTAATAGGCTGTGTACAGTCCACACATGAATGTCCTTGATATAGGCGACCATGTTTTTAAAGCTTGATAGAATGGCAAGGTTAGAACTAACATAGTACAGTATTTTTCATCCTTGTTAAGCTGTTTATAAGGATAGCTGTGTGGTGGAACCAGAAGCAGCACAAGATATCTGCTGCTTGAGGTTGAAGGATAAATGTTGCCATCTTTTCCCTAGTTTGGAGTGTCTCCTGATGATTTTTTTTTAAAAAAGCATTGCCTTCTTCCCCCCATATTCTTCAGTTGTCCACCTCTGCATTAGAGTATCTCATGCCAATATTTTTAGCGGTGCTTGTACGTTTAGAGGCCAGTGATCTTTGCCATAAGTCATCTTGTCAGATTTATTTTGCAATGATAGATTTGTGTTCTAGTCTACATTAAAACTTTTGAATCCTTCTGTGGCCTTTCCAATCAGCTTGTTCCTCAGTGGCAATCAGCTTATGAACACGAAGCTATTCTTGATGTTTATCTTAAATCTGGTTCCCGTCCAGGATGTCTCCTTACTCCTATTTTTCCACTTTTTTGGTTGGCAACTCATTTCAAGGCATCAGCTGTATTGAAAAAATGGCAACTATTACAGCATGTACAGGGATCTTCAAATTTCTCTCACCGGCACCTTGTAGCTCAGTCCCCATGTAGTTGTGGTATTCTGGTGTTGCTCTTGAGCTGAGGGTTGCCAGTGTCAATCATTGTCAGCACTGAGTTATATGGAGAAGGCAGTGGCCTCTTGAAACACTTCTTTCAGGTGGTGAAAGAGGAATGTTAGGTAAGATAAATGATTAGGCTCATGCTTCTGGGAACAAGGGAAATGTTGCTTGGACTTAGAAAGAAGAGTTGGTCTTTTTTCAGTAATTTTTTCCTTTCCTTCCAGGCCTGCATCGATGAAAACATGGAGGTGGTTGAATTTTTGGTGGCAAATGGAGCTGATGTGAACCAGGCTGACAATGAGGGCTGGACTCCGCTGCATGTTGCTGCATCCTGCGGCTACATTGAAATCGCACAGTGAGTTTGGGATGGTGATGAGCTTACCAAAACAGTGCCAGGTCTTAGATTGGCATTGTGTTGGTTTTAGTAATCCCCTTGCAATAGAAATGTGATTTGCTTGAGGTCTTAGAATAGTAGATCCTTAGGCCAGCCTTGCAGTGCTGCTCATCTAGGAAAAAGACTAGGCAGTCATCCGTGTCCTCCTCCAGCACCAGGATAGGGCAGCTATGTCCTTCTAGATGTTTTTAGGAAACCCCAAAGGTTGGCAGCCCGGTTTCTAACTGGGGCTAGTTACAGGGAGCAGATGATGCCTCTACTGAAGGAGCTCTACTGGCTGCCAATAAGTTTCTGATCCCAATTCAAAGTGCAGGTTATTACCTATAAAGCCCTAAACTGTTCGAGTCTTGCTTATCTCCATGACCATATCTCCCCCTATGAACTGGCATGGACTCTAAGATCTGCCGGGGAGGCCCTTCTCTCGCTCCCACCACCGTCACAATCACAGTTGTTGAGGATGAGTGAAAGGGCCTTCTCACTGGTGACCCCCTGGCTCTGAAATCCCCCCCCAGGGAGATTTAGATTAGTCCCCACTCTGTCCACCTTCCCTAAAGACTTGAAAACCTGGATGTTCCAGAGTGCTTTTGAATGACGGTTTAAGTCCCCAATCATGTCTGTCCAGCCCGAATTTATTGATTTGGTTTTTCAGCACTTTACTCCCAGCCCTGGCCCTATAGTCTGCGTTTTGCACAAGTCCTTGCCCTGCCCTCTTTGATCATGCCCACCATTTCCTGGTTACTGGTTGTTTGATGTCGATTGATGTATTTTAATGATGTTTTTACTCTTCTGGTTTTAATTGTTTCAATTATACTGTTTATATGTTATTATGTTCTTAATTGTGTTTTAGCTTGTAATCCTTGTTTATGCTGGGCTTGGTCCCCATGTAAGCTGCCCCGGGTCCTTTCAGGGAGATGGTTGTGGGATTTAAAAAAATTAAGTTGTTGTTGTGATTTGAAACACAACAAGATGAGTCCACAGCATACAAGATCACTCTGCTGGCTGTTGTATTGGATCACACGTCAGACACTTCCCAAGTGTCTAGGACTGTGTGATGTCTCGGCGAATAATGCATGTAGATCCCAGTAAGGTGGCCTTCTGCAGCTGGCAGATGATAATTTTGTCAGCGCCGATTGTTTAAGTCCAGTTAAATTATTATTATTATTATCCCATCAGCCCTGATAGCCTTGCCAGTGGTGAGGGATGATGGATACTACTAAATATCTAGAATAGGAGTGGGAGTCATACAGTGCTCTACATCAGTGCTTCTTAAGCTATCTAATGATGGGGACTAGCAAAGATATTTCCTAATCCACAAAGAACTGGCACTTGATTTATGTCCTTTGTTTCTTAGGAACTAACCATGGGCATCCAAGGGTTTGTGGACCAACACTAGTCCATAGACCATCGCTTTAAGTAGCATTGGTCCAGTTATTGTTGGATTCCAAACCCCAGCAGTATGTAACCAGATTTACATGTAGAGGTTCAGAAGGTCCCCACCTCTGCCCTTGATCAAGCCACTGAAGGCCATAACCATCACATTGCCTTGGCTTTGCTTGCTGTAGAAATTCTGTAGTACTCCCTGGTGCTGTTCATACTTTCTACATTATCTGCAAAATGTGAACCAACTGCGTACTAGAACATCTAGAAACCAGATACTTACCTGGGTACTAGGGGGCTTTGCCTGTAGTTTGTTTTCCTTTCTCATCTGAGGGAGGAAATTGCAAGGTTAGCTGCAGCCTCAGTGCCAAGTCCTATTTCATCAGCCACTGGGACGTTGCTGCTTGGGCATTCTCCATTTGAAATCCAGGTATAAGAGAAGGGAATCAGGCAAATAGAGTTAGCATGGTTTGGCTGGAGGCCAGGCATTTAAGCAGTGGTACGGAGTTTCTCTGGTATTGTTCCAGTCAGACATGGTTTTTCTTTTGCAATGTGGGAGTGCCACGGAAGCAGGATTGTTTGAAGGCTTTGATATGAAGCACAAGGCACAAGAGAGACTGCAGTAGTTGTAATTGTTCCAAGCCATACCTTGAAGCAGGTACTGGTAAGAGTAGTTGACAAAGGCAGGTAGAGGTTCCATTTTCAAGCCTTTAATTCAGTTATTTTCTCCAAAGTGTTTTGTCCCAGGTCTTCTTTGGCCTTGACCAAACTTTATTCCTTACCATATGTAAAATGTCCTGTTTTTAGTGGGGTCCATTCAGTAGGAGTCTTCTCTCTGTCCATGTAACATCTCTTGAGAATTTAACCTAAGTGAATTCTATTCTGTTTATATGGGCGGTCCTGACTACAGATGGGGGCATATATGGAAAGCCAAAGATACCTATAATGGGCTGCATCATCAAGGGACTTGCAGTGCTTTCTCTCCAGATTCAATAAAAGGTAGTGCAGACTTATTACATGGTATCAGGGGACACTGTATCAGCAGATGTTTAAGTAGTTGGGGATTATATGTGGTTGTCCAGAGAAGTTAGTCAAATGAAGTGTGGCTGAAAGCAAGGGATGATAACCCCATTAAGTCTTTGGTCTAATCCAGGATTTCAGAGATGTGAGATCTCATGTTGGGCTTAAGGGATCTGTAGGTCTGACCCTGCCTTCACTTTCTGGTCCAGATACCTCTTGGACCACGGTGCCAACATTGCTGCAGTGAACAGTGATGGTGATGTGCCATTGGACATTGCTGAGGCTGACAACATGGAGGCCTTGCTGCGTTCGGAGATTGGGAAGAGAGGTAAGGAGAAGGGCAGGTTGCTGTTGGTAGTTCATCCTTAAATGTGTCTCTGTTCATGCCCTATTTTTCTGTAACCCGGAAGCCACAGGGGTTTAACAAGCTTGTCCAACTGGCTGAGTCGCTTCATTACCCCCCACCCTAGCACTACTAATGAAATGGCCCGTCATATTCTTTTCAATTATTTCCATAGGAAGCAAGAGGACGACTTCAGAAATAAATACAGAGCTGTGGTGAAAACATAATTAAAAATAGTTGCAGTGATTTGATACATTCCACCAGTGTACACATTTGCATATTGTTCATAATATGTTTTGCAGCTACTCTGAGTAGACTCATGTGTGAGTTAACCATAGAATCATAAAATACCAATCTCTTCCTCAGAAGACTCCCTTCTTACACCACTTCAGTGGTTTCCTCGGATCTGTGTGGATTACAGACTTACTTTCAAAGAATGAAAAGGGGTGAATACACCCTGTTGCTGGGATTTCACAGTGTCATTAGAGAAGCTGTATTTAATCTCTGCTGTATTATGTGACTGCAGGTGTTCAGATTTTATACTTTTCTTGCTCCACTCCCCTGTGACACCTTCCTCTGCTTTCAGGGGTAGATGTAGAAGTAGCCAAGCGAGAGGAGGAGGAAATCATGCTTCGTGATGCTCGTCAATGGCTGAATGCTGGCAAAATATCTGACGAGTCACACCCCAAAACCGGAGCCACTGCCCTACATGTGGCAGCTGCCAAAGGCTACATTGAGGTTATGAGGTGAGAGGCGAGAACCGTATCCCCCTCATTCTGCTGCTTTCAGGGTGAGGCCTCCTCATTCAACTATTGTTAGGGTGGGTGGAAAAGCCTTCTCCTTGGGAAATCATTCTATAGAGCAATAATCAGGATACAATCACCAGAAGCCTCAAATCAATCTAGAGCTGGAATAGTGGCTACAGAAAAAGCACATTCTAATTTTCAACTTTGAGCTCCCCTTGTGGAGGATAGCCCTGAAACTGAGATTTTAAAAGGCCCTAAATGAAACTGGTAGTTACTTCCAACTTCAACTTTTGACTGATGCTGTAGACATTTTTGGAGGTTGTTTCCCCATAGGCTTCTAGAAGTGACTTTTGACTTTATTTGAATGGCTTTCATAGGGATTTGTGGAGATAGATGGATCTAGACAGCTCAAAAAGGCCACTGGGGATTGTATGTAGTCCACAGACCACGGTTTACCCCTATCTTGAGCTAGACGTTCAGTGCCAGAAGTCAGTTAAACATCTCAGTCTTCAAAATGGCTCACACCTCAGATTCTTTTTTGCCTCAGCAGGTTTGAAATTTTGCTTTACCCAACCCAGGGTAATTGCATCACCTCTTTTTATGCTTCTTTCTCCAGATGTTTGATGTGTTTGGGGGCTGGTTCCCAGATGCCATCCCTCCCCCAAGCAGAGGCAGGGCTGAGGGAAAAGCGTAGGCCAAGTTATTATCAGTCCCCGCCCTGGCCACCTGTCAGTGCTTTGTGGCAAAAGTGAGAATACAAAACTTCTGCTTCCCAGCTTTTGACTATGTAGACCTCTTTCTCCAAAATGGGGGACAAAAGTTCCAGCAAACTGCACCCTCCCACTTCTATGACTTCTTTTTCCTCTTAAAGGTGTTGAAGTCCCAATTCCCCTACTACTACTTTGACCCTGATAGTTTCTGTTCACTGTCCTGAGAATCCCCAGATAGGCTCAAAACATGTGCTTGCACACACAAAAGAATTTACAAGGCAGTTTTGTCAGTATGTTCCCTATAAGCCTCCCAGCCCTTGATAATATAGGAGACTGGGTTCTTTGAACTTGTCCCTTTAAACAGAGTACCTTATTCCCTTCCAAAACACCCTAGAACACTAGTGTATCTGTTCTAACTCATCAGTGTCTAGTCTTGAAATAGGGTTTTAGTACACTAGTTCATTTTATGGTAAGACAGGTCCTTTCTCTTGGAAGCAAACAAGCCCTAGGCATCTCTCGTTCTCTTACAGGCTGCTCTTACAAGCTGGCTATGAGCCCAATGTGCGGGACAAAGATGGCTGGGCTCCCTTGCATGCGGCAGCCCACTGGGGAGTGGAAGAGGCCTGCCGCCTTTTGGCTGAGCACTTTTGTGATATGGAGGCCCTCAACAATGTGGTGAGCATGAAATTGGGGCACAGGTTGGATGTGACATAGCAAAGCCCTGTCATCTTCAGTTGCACTCTGCAGTTCCAATCCCTTGGAATCCTTCCACTCATCTTTCTCTGGTGGGTTCTGGGCTTCATGGTGACCCCTTTAATTATGGACCTGTGATTGTGTTATTGTGTGGTTTTTTATTGTAGCCATGTCCTGATTCCATAATAGGCTTCATAGGGGCAGCCAGAAATAGTTTTAAAATAACAATAATAGTTTTATTAAACATAGTAAAACAATATATTAACCTTCTATTATTTTAGGTTTCCCCAAACCATAGTTACTTCCCTTTCTAACTTGCTGGGTGGTCTCTCCTCAATTTAACTCTGTCTCTGTTAAATCCAGCCTTCCAATGCTGCCTCTATCAGTGTCAAAAACTGCCAGTGCCACTTCAAGCCCTGCCTAACATTCACACAGGCATGCTTCCTTTTTACATTCTGTTCACCCTCAAACCTCCCTTCACAGCCTCCCTGAGCCATGATTGACTGCCTTCAAGCCAAATCTACCCAATGCCTCCTTCATAGGGGGGATCTTCCTGATAGAGCTTGGGAGAGCCCTTATTTCTTTATTTACGACATTTATATCCCGCCCTTCTCACCCCGAAGGGGACTCGGAGTGGCTTACAAAGAATATATTATATTATTAGCATAGCACAATGTTAGTATTATATATTACTATATTGTACTATAACACTATACTGTAATATTATTAGTAATATTAAATGTAATATAAAATATATAATTATTTAATTGTATTATCACTAGTATTATATTGTATTACATTTTATTATTATCAACAATATATTTGTATACAATATATTGTATTATTAGCACAGCACAATATTAGTATTATATATTACTATATTGTACTATACCACTATACTATTATTAGTAATATTACACGTCATATAAATATATAGTTATTATATTGTATTATTATTATTATTATATTTGTATTATATTGTATTACATTATAATATTATTATCAATATTATATGTGCATACAATATATTATTAGCCCTTCAATATATAATATAATATAATATAATATAATATAATATAATATAATATAATATAATATTAGCCCTTCCATACCCAAGAGCTATGAGAAGCACTGCCAGTCATTGCAGACATGCAGGGGGCTATTGATGCATCCACACTGTAGAATTAATGAATTTGATACCACTTAGATTGCCATGGCTTAAAGCTAAGGAATCCTAGGGTTTGCAGTTTGGTGAACCACCAGCACTCTTTTGCAGAGATGGCTGACACCTTGTAAAACTACAATTTGCATGATTCTATAGCACTGAACCGTGGCAGGTAACATGGTTTCAAACTGCATTACACCTACAGCATCTATGTAGACCAGGTCTCTAAGGCAACTTCAGATGTAAATAATTATCATGCTTGGGAGGGGTGGAAAGACTATGGCTGACAGTCATTTAAAGAAATGTTAATGACCCAGCGAAGTTATTTTTAGTTGATCAAGTAAGTGATTGAATCTGTATAAATTTGAATTTGACTGAAATGATATTTTAAAAGAAGAGACATCCTTTGTTTTGAGGCAGTGTATTTATATATCTCTGAGACTTTCTTGCCTCATCAAGCTGCTGCCTACCATCTGCGGTTTTTCTGAATGTTAATTTTCATCATTATTTTTACAATAAAGAAGCCTGATGAGGAGCGCTTATTTAAACAGCTCTTGAAGTAAATTATTCTGCCTCATTAATTGATTAAAGCTTGCAAACCAAACCAAAATCCAAAGGATTAAGGAGATGAGGCAGTTTGAAAATCTGAAACCTTTGACCTGTGTCATAACTATATTCACAATGGTTACAGGAAGTACAAGCCTGAAAAAGCCCGGAAACAATTTGATGAGGCAAAACAAATGAAACTATCCTAAAATTACCATAATTTTAAAATTTTTAGAGGGAGTGGGTGTCTAATTCCTTGTTTCCTGAACTCCAGATTACAGTATTGTGGCAAAAAATTGCTTCCTTGCTTGAATCACAGACAGTCTTCCATTATACTTAGGTGGCTGATTGTTTCCTTCTTCAAAATGTCAGTTTCAGGGATCTGATGAGCTGCAACCTAGGCCCCTTCCACATAGCAGAATAAAATCCCACATTGTCTGTTTTGAACTGGAATATATGGCAGTGTGGACTCATATCCCAGTTCAAAGCAGATATTGTGGGATTTTCTGCCTTCATATTCTGGGTTATATGACCGTGTGGAAGGGTCCCTAGTATAAGCAAAAGCGATGAGGGCCAAGTAAGATTGCTGTCTTTGTAGGGTAGGTGATCTTGGAGGTGGGACAGCTGGCCAATCAAAAGTCCTCTGGATGAAGCCGCTGTACCCATTACATTTCCATAGTTTATTACATGGAGCAATGGGTCTTTCAAGCAACTCTGATGGGACCTCTTTCCACCCATCTTATTTTCCTCCACCTTAGGGCCAGCGTCCCTGTGATCTTGCAGATGAAGATACTTTGGCTTTGCTTGAGGAGCTGCAGCGTAAGCAAAATGATGTGAGTGATGTTTTTTCTTGCTCCTAACAGCTTATGATACGTTTCTGTATTTATGCTAAAAGCTCCTAGCACCAGAATTCCTTGGACTCAGGCCCCTTCCACACAGCTGGATAAAATCCCATGTTACCTGCTTTGAACTGAAATATATGGTTCAGATTACCTAGCTCAGATATTGTGGGATTTTTTGCCTTAATATTCTGGGTTATATAACTGTGTGGAAGGGCCCTCTGTGGCTCTGCAGAGACCTTACCTGTGGGAAAACATGCAGGTTGTAGTTTGTGCTCAGAGCCAACTAAAGACAGGAACTCTCCAACACTGACTTTCCATGTGCAGAATTCCAGCTCTCCCTATTTTTGGCATTATTTTTGTTGCTTGTACTTATTTTTATTTAGCACATGGGCTGACTTGTGGTTATTATAGATACTTTTCTTCTGGCTTATTTACAGTTTAAATCCAAGGATTGCTTAGCAGGTCTTAAGATTATTGTTAATTACTGGACTAAGCAATGACAACTTATTGAGACAATGTTTTAAGAATTTTACATTTTACGAAAGCTACATTTGGCTGGCTTTATGCTCTGAAATGTAGGGTAACACACACACATTTATTTGTGGGATTTCTAACATCAAATAGAAGTAAAATACCTATACATTTAAGGTATTTTTTGTGTCAGAAAAGACTTGAGAAACTGCAAGTCGCTTCTTGCTGTTTGCAAGGATGTTGCCCAGGGGATGCCCAGATATTTTACCATCCTGTGGGAGGCTTCTCTCATGTCTCCGCATGAAAAGCTGGAGCTGTCAGACTGGAGCTCACCTGGATTTGAACCACCAACCTTTCAGTCAGCAGTCGTGCCGGCATAAGGGTTTAACCCACTGTGCCACATTGTACTTTGCACAAAGGGACCTTGTCCCTTTGTAAGCCACCCCGAGTCCCTTCGGGGAGATGGTGGCGGGGTATAAAAAGAAAGTTGTTATTATTATTATTATTATTATTATTATTATTATTATTATTGTCACATATTTGAGAGAAAGAAATCTATAATATAAGCTTTCATAGACTCGGGTTTCTTCATAAGCTGCAACTGTGCATTAGACTGATATGTCTCATATCTGTGTTTGTCCCTCAAAAGTTTAATGTGATAAAATTTGGACCAAGAGACCTCCTTTTGTCATTCTTTATCGGGAAATTTCCATGGTTTGGTGGTTGTTTTTTGGAGCCTCTTGTCAGAAGTTGTTCAGTGAATACAAGCCAAGGAAAGCACGTTTTCTCCTAAGGAGCTCTAACTTAGCATCAAAGTCTCTAGGTTTGCTCCCCTAGTGCCTTGCTTTGATGTGTTTCAATTGCCAGCTCTCTATTCCCTATTTGCCCAGGTATTTAATGATTAGTTGCCATTTACTGCTCTCTGTGGGTTTATTTACAATTACTGCTTTAACCACTCACTGCTTGCCATTCTCTTATAATGGTGTTTTAATTGGTTCAATCTGAGGGCTGCTATTTCTTTCTAACTAATGACTATAAGCCACCTTGGAAATTTTTAATTAATTGCGGGGAAGGCATAAATGTCTTTAAATAGCTGGCTGAGCTCTTCCAGACCTGTGTGTACTTTGCACTAAAAATACCAGCAGTTGGTGCCAAGAGAAGCTAAAGTCTGTGGACTACCTCCATGTTGGGCAAAGCAAGCAGCAGCCCATATTTGCTCTTAAGTGTTTTTGCTACTCCAGGAACATGCTGGTGAAACCGCAGGATGCAGATGTTTCTTGACTGACTTCTTTGTTTAGATATGCACAATCCTGGTTGAGTTTCTCACATTACCTTTTTTTTAAAAAGCGTTCCAGCAGCCATAAGAGCAGCAAGTAGAAAGAAATGGTGTTGACCCCGGGGGCATGAGGTCAGGGAGTGAGGCCACCTCGCCTGTCAACTTAATTTGAGCTTTGCCAGCCCAGGGCTGTGTTTCTGAAACCACGGGGTGGGCCTCCCTGAGGCGACTGTGGTTGGGGGAAAGCCCACACGCCTCTCTTTTCATCTGCTCCAGGCCCTGCTCTCTCGCTCTCTCAGTCTCTTTGCTGGGTCCCCAGGGAAAGAGAGCAGCAAAGGCTTCCCTTCTGCCTGTCCTCTTTCCAGCTGGAAATTGAACCAAACCAACCTCATGGCAAGCCTCAGGGCTTGTGTTATGTGTGGCTGTTTTCTCGTTAAACTCTTAAATTTTCCCCCTTATGGGGGAACTAATTGAAGTGAGCCAGGCTCAAGTTGTAACACTTAAAAAAGACATTCACACCTACATTTTTAGAAATTTCAATAGCATGTAATATGCAGGGGGTATTATACTGTGGCGTAGTGTGGAGACCAGGATTTTACTCCATGCTCAGCCATGGAAACTCACTGAATGGGCAAGCTGCGTTCTTATCAGTTTTAGAGAAAGGCAAAGGCAAACTCCCTCTTGACAAGAAAGCCCCAGGATAGTTTCGTATTAGGGTTGCCGTAAGATACACTCCAGCACAGCTTAGATAGAGAGGGGCTTTGGGTATCCCCCCCCCCCCCCCAAATACTTAAAACTCAGAACTGCCCCTAAAAAACATCTGGGTGTGAGGTGCAAGACTGACTCAATACTTCACATGATGCATAGTCAATTTACGGAGTTCCGTTGACTTTTGTGAGGAGATTAAAACAAATTTATGGGCGGTTGTGGTCTGTGTTTGTGCCTGGCTAGCTGACCACCATGGAAAAGGAGATGTTGCTCCATCCATGCCATGTACTTGTCCTCTGCTACCTTTACAGAGATCCTCTGCTTGCCAGCATGGTGTGGCACTGCATAAATATTCTGCTCCTTTTGAGCTGTATCAAAACAATCCTAAGTGCTAACAGTGGGCATGTCTGCGCCTTTCTTTCCAAACAGCTTACCACCCCCTTATACTCGACACCAACCCAATCTGCTTCAGCACGATTCAGTCTCAAGCATTGCTGCTGTTCTCAGCTTTGGACAATGCTATGAAGAAAGCAGTAGGAATTGTACAACATTATTGCCTATTATTTTTACTCAGAAGGATCAAACATCCTGATTACCTTGGCCATATAAGTTCCTCTCTTTGAGACTTTTTTAACCATTGCATTGCTGTGGGGAATAAGAGTTTTACCATCTTTTCTATCTCCCCCCCCCCCCTTCTATAAACACCAGCTGCGCAGCAAGAAAGAAGCCCACCTGAGGCAAGCTGTAATCGACACCAGCTTGGAACAGCCCCCATCTTACACAACCAAGCACCGAAGGTGAGTGGGGAATGTGTGGTTATTAGATTCCCTGCTGTTTGCCAGATATTGAGTCCAGTAATCCCCACTGCTGTTTTCAGACACTGGCAGTGATTTCCCAAGAGAAGCCAAAGGCCCTGTCTTACAATCTAGAATACCGTGTGTGTTGGTTCAGCGTATGCACTAGGTTCATTGTTAGGAAACCAGATCTCCCCCCTCCCTCTATCCTCCTTCTCTGTCAAATGCAAGTTGTGAAACAAGTTTGAGAGAAGTCTTTATTTGGTGTACAGCAAGTTTGACAAGTCACTTTGCTACAGAAATGTTTACAGTTACAGCTTACAGATGTCAGGTTGGACGACCCAGCTGTTTGTGGTTAGACATCAAGCCCGTGTAAATTACAAGTATTGTTGTCCCACAGACAGTGTTAGGATACCTTCCTCTCAGTAGTAGCATAAATTTTGTTGGCTAGGTGCATCGGTGTGGCGTATCATTGAAGCAACTCCAAGTTTTTAAGCAAGCTGTGGACCAGCTCATACATGCTCATATAAAGATACTGTGCCATACTGTGCCAGCTCCACTATACACACAGTTAAAATATACAAACTGCAAAACAGGTGTTTACATTCTCTCCCTCTCGTCATGCTTTGAGTTTAAATGTGGTGCTCTTGTCTCATTGCTGGTGTGGTCTGCATACAAGTGGGCATGCATGCAGTCCTTAAACTGAGATTGTCTGGTAGTATCTTCAACTATGTCTAAGCCATATTGCTAAAGAATACACAAATTGTTTAAGTAACATTTTGAGAAACACCAAAATTCTGTTGCCATTCATACAAAATAATCAACATGCCATGCATGAGCTAACAGTGGTTATGCCAGTCTTAAGCCATCTTAGCAGAAGCTGCCAACTGAGATCCATGTAACTTAAAAGTTTTGCCTGTCTCAGCAGAGTCTGATGAGAAAGAAGGAAATTATTTTGGAAACCTTCCCACTAACCTGGTTTGGGTAATCAGTAATTGTGATAGGTCGCCTTTATGGGATTATCTTTCCAACAGAGCTTCCTTTTCTCATTATCTTCTTTTGTAATGTGTCTCTCCTAGGAGCTCTGTATGCCGCATGAGCAGCAAGGAGAAGATCTCTGTCCAGGACCAATCAAAAGAACGCAAGACTTTAGGGACCATCGCTGTCGGCGAGGAGGAGACCAGTTCAGCCTCAGAAGGAGAGGAAGCTCCTGAAACCAATGGTGGGCAGAAATGCACAATGGGCCATGGCCATCGTTAGTCCTAAACTGGAAAGGATTCAGCAAGTGTTAACTGCTTCCTGTCTCCTACAGAGGTGAAGACCACTCCCGTGACAGATACCAGTGCAGTGAATGGAGTCTCTGTGACCCCCATTTCTCCTTTGTCCCCCAGTCCCACAGGGCAGAAGGTAAGGCCTTGTTCATCTATTCTAGCACTCCTTTGATGCTCTGTAGGTGAGCCAATGATTCCACAAATCTCTACCTGCCCATTATATAAGTTCCCTTCCAATGATAGCTTTAGATGCACAATTACAATTATTGGCCTTCAGTTGAAACTCAACTTTTGTATATTCTCTCAAATTAGCTTTTGTCACAGTTTGAGAGTGGAGGTTGAAGGCATTTTATTCTCCATAACAATTGGTCCCAGGCACTTTTTTCATTTTCATTGCAGCTACAGGTTCTGGTATTGTATATCCATGTTTTCCATGCCATCTCCATGAAGTTAGGATGAAGTCTAAGTACACTGAAAAATGGACTGCACTGTTTTGGATTATGAGTGGAGGGATTGTGTTTTCGACTGCTTTCTAAAAACTCTGTATGAGTAGAAAACTAACAGAGTTTGGAGCTGGCAAAGCTGAAACTTTTCTCCACAAGTCACATGTTCTTCTGTTTGCATGGATTTTTTGAAAATACGATTAGCCACTTCTAAGTAGTATTTCCAACTCTGATTGAAGTACAATCCATTCAACAATTTGAACAGTCTCCTACCTAGTTCCTTCTTTTCACTGTTGTGTGTTCACATCAGGACTAAATATCTAGCCATAGCTCATCAATTGCGATTAATCCCAACTCTAGCCATATGGCAGCCTGTTCTCTTGGGAGGAAGAGGGAGTGGATGACTTGGAATTCAGGCAACTGCATATCCTGGCCGCAAGAGCTCCTTGTTTCTTTAGAAGTGGGATTTAAATACAAAGGAAAAAGAAAGGCAATGAAAACTTGTTCCTAGGTGATGTCTAAGGGGGGCAGCTTCAGTTGAGAGGTATTGTCCTTTCTTTCTCCTCCTCTCCTCCATCAGCTTTTCACAGATCTTTGCACAAACCTTCCTCTTTGCCATGCAACATGCGCTGAGTTCTTCTTTTATAACTTGCCTGCTCTTAACACACCCAGTACCTTCACCCTGCATGCTTGATTAACCAGTTGTTGCTTCTAGCTGCCCTGGGTGGGGCCAGGTTGACCTTTCTCCTCTTTGGATTGCTGACATATGTGATTGTAGAGATGGCACACAGTACATCTCAGAACCGGTTGAGGTAATCTCACCGGCTGGGTCTGAATCACACATATATTCTCTTAACTCCATTCCAATGCCTGTCTGGCCACCCTTTCCGCTGCATGTCATTTCTCTTGTATGAAATACCTTGGACTTGTTTTGTTTCTGTCTTTTCTTCCTCCTTTTTTCACATTTCCACCTGTGCCTTTCATCAATTGCTGACCATGCCTCCTCCTTTGCTTCTCGCTTTTTCTTTCCACCCACCCATCCCATTGCAGCCACCAATTGCCTTCATCACCCCTGTTCTGCCCATCCCTAGCCCCCTGGGGCCTTCCATGTGGAGACAAAGCTTGCGCAAAACTGGGATCATTCTAGTGCCCCAGGGGGGACAAAAAGCTGCTGTGAGTTTCCCATTCAGATATGAAGGAGGGAGAAAGAACATGTGCTTATGTGTTTGCATTTATGTACTTCCTCCCATTAGTAGCCTAGTGAGACCAAGGGCCTAAACCCGTCTTGTCAGAAACAAATTTCGAGACTCGATGAGTTCCTTTGAGTTTAGAACAACCTAAATTCCAAGATGGGATGTACTTTTAAAAAATTAACTAAAATTCCACAAATGTGTGTGGGATTTTGAACACAACAGAACTCTTCATCAAACTGGGTGGTTTCAAAGAATAGGTGGGATGCGGATGGGAGAAGAAGCATGGAAGTTTTAGTCTGTCTAGGCATTTTTGCTATGAAATCTACAATTGAACTCAGTCCCAAAGTGGGGATTACGGTCTTTTATAAGTGTTGGAGGTCACATGTAATAATATACTATGGCAGCATTTCTCAACCTGAGGGTCAGGATCCCCAGGGTGGTCATGGGGGGGGGGGGGTCAGAGGGGTCACCAAAGGCCATCAGAAAACATAGTATTTTCTATTGGTCATGGGGGTTCTCTGTGGGAAGTCTATCATTGGTGGGGTTCAGAATACTCTTTGATTGTAAGTGAACTATAAATCCCAGCAACCACAATTCCCAAATGTCAAGGTCTATTTTCTTCACTAGTGTTCACATTTGGGCATATTGATTATTCGTGCCAAGTTTGGTCCAACTCATTTCTTGAGCCCACAGTGCTCTCTGGACATAGGTGAACTAGAACTCAAAAACTCAAGATCAGTGCCCGCCAAACTCTTCCAGCATTTCTGTTGGTCATGGGAGTTCTGTGTGCCAAGTTTAGTTCAATTCCATTATTGGTAGAGTTGCAGGTTGACTATAAATCCCAGCAACGATAACTCCCAAATGACAAAATTAAACCTCCCCAAATTTGGGTATATCAGGTATTTGTGCCAAATGTCTTCCAGTGAATGAAAATACATCCTGTATATAAGATATTTACATTACGATTCATAACAATAACAAAATTACAGTTATGAAGTAGCAATGAAAATAATTCTACGGTTGAGGGTCACCACAAAATGAAGAACTATATTAAGGGGTTACGATATTAGGAAAGCTGAGAACCACTGCACTATGGGATGGTGAGTAAATGGTCCACATCTCTGAAAATACAAAGTTGGCTGCAATTCAATAATTTGTCCTTTGTCTTAGGTGAAATGCACACAAGTCTTAAATAATAAAGTTGACAGTTATATTTTAGGTTGGAGTCTCCCTGAAGTGGCAAAAATAGCAGCAATCCAATAGTTTTAATCCACAGCGCAATTTAAATCTGAGCTTAATTACAGATTTCTGCAATTAACTGGCTGTTCTTGCTACTTTTAATTTAAAAAACTTGAGGTTCTAGAACAGCTATGGGCAAACTTGGGCCCTTCAGATGTTTTGGACTTCAACTCCCACAATTCCTAATAGCCGATAGGCTGTTAGGAATCGTGAGGATTGGAGTCCAAAAGACCTGGAGGGCTGAAGTGTGCCCATGGCTGTTCTAGAACAATTTTATAGCATCCAGTCGGCAACTGGTTGAAATAGGATCTGTAGCACATGGAAAGTGACAGCAGTTCTTTAGTGTCCCCAGTATTCTGTAGTTTGTTTCCCATTAGTGCAGCCATAAGATATTGTGTAGTTTGGTTTTGTTGTTTCTTGGTGCATGTGGCAGTGCTGGTATTTTAGCAGAATGAGAGATTTATCTGGCTGCCTGTGGCTTAAAGCAGATGAGGAATTTTTGTCCCTCTAAATCTTTTGGACATCAGTTCCCACATCCAAAATCATTGACTACGCTAGGTGAGGCTGATGGAAATTATAGCCCAAAACATCAGGAGGTATAGCAGTTTCCCTCACCTGACCTTAAGGCTGCCAGAATAAAGAAAAGGAGTCTAGCGAGTTTTTGCAAGAGGGAGATTCTGAGTTACTGAATTATTTGGTAGGAGTATTATGTCTATTTCTTACACATACATACCCTTTCTTTTTTTATTAACCATGGGATTCCAAGAGGCCTACAAAGTTAAAACAAGCACAGATAAAAGTTCCACATTTATTAAGACATACATCAGTTAAAACATAATGAAACTATAAATAGAATTAAAGGCAATTAAAAGTGACTGCCTTTAGACCTCCAAGGGAAGTGAGCATGGACCTCTTTGTGCTGCCCTTCTGTTCCCAGGCAAAACCTTTTTTTATTGCAACAGGCTTTTGAAAACCGAAGGTTGTTAAAGAAAAGGCCTTTAAGACCAATACCATGTAGTTTTGTTGCTATTTGTTTTTGCCTGCCCTCAAGTCATTTCTGACATATGGCAACACTATCATGGAGCTTTCTTGGCAAGTTTTGCTCTGAGGGAATTTGCCTTTACCTTCCTGTAAGGTTCAGAAACTATGACTTGCCCAAGGCAATCCAGTAGATTTGAAGAACTAGCAAGGAGTCAAACTCTGATCTCCAGAATCATAGCCCAAAACTCAAACAATACATCACACTGTCTATCTAGTTTTAATTGTATTTATTTATTTGTTTATTTACTTCATTTGTATACCGCTATTCTCAGCCCTAAGGCGACTCATAGCGGTTTACAACAATCAAGCAAAAACAAGGCAAACAATCAGGCCAAAATTCAATGCGGCATCAACAAGGTACTTAAAAACAATTAACACAGAAACAGATTAAACAATTTAACAGTAATAAACATTCAAGTGGCGTCTCATAACTAGAATCATGATCCAAACTCGTCAATCGTAGTTCCATTTCCTGAAATTCATTGCACTGCCTATTCAAACGCCTGTTCAAATAACCAGGTTTTCACTTTTCTCTGGAATACCATCAATGAGGGAGCCAATCTAATGTCCGTGGGAAGGGCGTTCCACAGCCGAGGGGCCACCACCGAGAAGGCCCTGTCTCTCGTCCCCGCCAGCCGTGCCTGTTTTAAAAACTGTTTTAAAAACTCCTTTCTAACATTTTAAATCCAAAATTTAAGCTGTTTTAGTGTTAAAAAGCTTAATTCCATTTTAATGTTGCTTTTTGGTATATGTCTTAACTGCGTATGTTTTAACAATATTGTACTAGTTTTAAGTCGTGAGCCACCTTGCATTCAAGTTTTTGGGGAAACAGGATACAATAATAACAATAATAGACTAGTATTAGAGCAGGAAGTATTTGAAATCTATAGAGTGAATGGTTGTGTTTGTGGGACTTTGTGCATTTGTAACCACCTGATTCCTGAGTGGAACAGAGACACATGGAAACCAAAGCATTGTTTCTTGTAAGGATGCACTGTGGACTGGTTTACTGAGGGGTGGGGGTTCCAGTTGCATGTCTTTGCCTGGGAAAGCTGACGCAAACCTCTTGAAGCTCTGTAGCTTCCTGTGATGCAAAGCTTCCAGTTTTGAAGAGGCAGCTTTGCTGGCCCTGCTTACCTGATATGACCTCTTCTTTGAAAACATTCCGAAATGCTGCTTCTGGGATGCTCCATGTGAATCTCAACAGCTCTGCTTGACAAAAGCATAACTGCTTCTCTCTGGAATGTTGACTTGGCAAGGAATCGGGGGGAGGGAGGGTGCATCCTTGTCGTGAAGAAGCACCCGACCAGAGAAAGAGATGGTTTAACTCCAACACCCTGCTGTTTACAAATCACCCTCTTTCTCCAGGGATGTTGTTTTGCCCTGGGTTCCAAACAGGTATTTAAAGTGCATCTGGTACAACTTTGAGAACCCCAAGTGTCCCTCTACTTGTGTTGTAAGTACATGATAGTGCAGGAAAGAGAGGTTCTCTAGCACCTAGAATCATAGAGTTGGAGGAGACCTCGTGGGCCATCCAATCCAACCCCCTGCCAAGAAGCCCTAATTGTAATAGAATCTCCTATGAAGAATATAGAAAGCTACCTCCAGTATCACTTCTTTTCATTCAAGGTAGTTTGTCCTTGGAATATACTATTATGCCAAGACTTGAGCCTGGAACATCTGAAGCAGCAGTCAACCACCTCTGAGAATGTGTGGCGTAATCTGTGACAGTCTCCAAACTCTTTGAGATGTAGCTTTTGGGGAGTCTGAATTCAAACTCCATGTGTGATAGCAACTTTCATCTTAGGAAATATATCATTGTCGATGAAAGTAGATATTGAGAGACAGAAAACTCTGAGAGGTCTGGTTCTTTTTTAAGTGCGCTGTACTTAAATGATTGTCCCTACCACCCTGCTCGTAGATGTTATTTCTTTGTCAGGCAAAATCTGGATTTTTCTTTTCATGTCAGGAGTGACTTGAGAAACTGCAAGTCGCTACTGGTGTGAGAGAATTGGCCGCCTGCAAAGACGTTTATATATCCTCCTACCACCTTCCCTTTTTATTGCTTAACCAGGATATGTAGCTCTTGGAAATTTTGTGTCTCTATTCTTACTCTTAAAGAATCTGGGTTCTGGCACTGCTTTCTGGCTTGTTTTCTGTCTATGGAGGCAGCAGTTCCTGGGTGCAGGTCTGAATTCCCCTGCGTAGCCCTATCCAGTTACCTCCCCCCCCCCCCCCCAGTCTGTTCCAACTCCATGGCTCCAAGTTAAAATTCCCTTCATCCATCCTGACTCCCCTTCCTTCCTCTTCTCCCCTTTCCCTCTGTGTCGGTTTCTCGTTCCTCCCCCTCCTTCCCCCTCTACAGTTCTCTGGAGGCTCCAGCCGCACCATGGAACCAGAGGATGCAGCAGCCCCTGCCATCTGGAGGCAGAGCCTACGAAAGACAAGCAGTTTTGGGGTGTTGCAAGATGCCAAGCTGGAGGATGGGGCTGCCAAGGAAGGCAGCGGCATCAAGCGCTCGGCATCAAGTCCCCGGCTTGATACAGAGGAAAAGGTAAACCCCAGTGGAGGCAGCAGTGGTTGAGACAAAGCATAGCATGTTGAGCATTAAACTACTTGGAGCATCTGGAGCTAGTGTACTAGTGTTGGATTGGGACAAAAGATGGATCCCACAAGGAGCAGTGTGGTGAGGCTCTATTTCGTATTTGACAGTGCCATTTAGAATTTTCATTTAAAATTTTCACCTCTGTCTACCCGTTGGCCTTCTTAGTGCCTCCTATTGCAATTGTAAAACAGTATGAGCCCAGTAAGATCAAAGAAAAATCCACAAACAGGTGAAACAGCACAACAGAATAGCAGCTGATAATAATGAAACCATTTCAGATTAGATCTCATCAGGATCTTGGGAAAACAGGAGAAAACTGGACTTGGTGCCTAAAGAGACAAAGAAGGACTCGGGGGGGGGGGGGGGTATTTTGACCTCTTCTCTATCAGGTCATCATCACCAACTTTTTGCATATGCTGGTTCATACAGTCCTTTGGGTAGTCCTTGCAGCAAACCAAGATTGCAGTCCAGTCATTTTACAATCACCCTTACATGGGGAATTCATCATCAGGCCCTTCCTTGTCAGTTTCTCTTTCTTTACTGTCTGGACTTTCATCTACTACTGTTTCATACAGATATTCCTTAAAACAGATGGAAAAATCTCAGAATCAATTAAACAGTGAGAGTTCAGGGTGCAAAGGGCTCTGGATATCATTCTGCCAATCTTTATAGTATGTGAAGCAAGCTGAAACAGCATGACACAGAAATCTAAGGTATAATAAGTGGCAAGCAAAGACTCCCATGTTCTATCTCTTGTGTAGCAGGACAAGAAATGGCCAACTATTTTATGAGGCCTTGGTGAGTCTCTGCCAATCCAGAGGAGGCGATACTGATTTGATCTGGGTGGGCAACTTTGGAAATTATTCAACTTCCAGCCAATTCCAGTTTTTTGTTTTTTGTTTTTTGTCTCTGGGAACAAAAAAGCTGTCCCAAAAAAACTGTTGCAACCAACTTAAGTTGGCTGGAAGTTGAAAAGTCAGCATTTCTTCTGTTAGGTAGTACAGAGGGGCCCTGTGACCTACTTAAGAGATGAATCGCCATTCCTGGAGGCTTTCCCAGAGAGGGAATTGACCCTTTTTTATTCACCAAAAAGGGGCACTCCCATAGACTTGGGGAGCAATAAATTGAAGCGTCTCGTGTGGCTTCTTTACTTTTCTAGACTATGCAGACCAGTGGCCAGATTAGTGTCAACATCATTGTGGGTTCATTCCTACTTCATATGAAGAATTTGGCCTCATATTTGGTTTGCTGTCATGCAGAGATATGGAATGTTTTGCTTTCAATATGTTACTTGGCTAGAATTCACAATATCTGTAGCCATGGACCCTTCAGGGGTGGATGAAAGTTGGAATCCACCAGCATGTGGAGGGCAACAGGTTTTACACCCCTGCAGTAGAGGCTTTGGGTTTCTACTACAACTTCCTAGGTTTATGAAGGCTGTATTGTTGAAGGCTTTCATGGTTGGAATCACTGGGTGGTTGTAGGTTTTTTGGGCTATATGGCCATGTTCTAGAAGCATTCTCTCCTGACGTTTCGCCTGCATCTATGACAGAAATCCTCAGAGGTTATGAGGTTAGGAAGTTGTAGTAGAAACCCAAAGCCAAAGAATATGGCCATATAACCCAAAAAAACCTTCAACAACCTTTATGAAGGCTTTTCCATAAGCAACACCTTTAGATCTAGAACTTTGTTCCCTAATCTCAGATAATGCAGAAGGCCCATAATGAAGGGAATAGCCCCTCCTCGGACTTTCGTAGAACAAACAACCTTTTGTCTGTTTTTCCTCTTCTTCCATCACCACATTTTCCATCTCAGAACATTTTCCTTTCCCAACTCAGATTTCTTGGAATGGAACCTGTTGTATGTGGGCTGTCTCATCCCATTGGGGGTGGCTTTTCAAAATAGGATTTCAAGGCATGGACTTGGCACAAGATTGTCTCTGCTTTGCCCTCTTCTCTTTCTCTCTCCCTCCTCCCTGTCCCCTAACCCCAATCCTGCCATTGCCCGTAAACCTGCAGCAAGACATCCGGGAGCTCTTACAGAAGTGGAACAAGAACCCCATTGGCCCAGGGTTAGCCCATAGGAGTGCCGCTTCCGAGTCAGCCAGTGACCCGGTAGGAGCCTATGCCCATCAGAGGGTGTGGCTTGCTTACCTTGCTTGCTAGCTTGCTATGTTTCGAGGCTTAGATGTGTGGAGCTTAGCTTAAGAGCTGCGTGGGGCTTGCGGAGGGGTGGGCGAACCATATTGCAGGGAAGTCCATTGGGATCACGCATGGTCCAGAAGATAAAACTTGAATGTACTCTTGTTCAGTCATTCTGTTGGTCGTCTTCTTATTTCCACCTGTTCCCCTGGTTATCTTATTTTTTAGGTTTTATTTGGCTTTGCATATTTTGGCTTACAGCTATTCCATATAGCACTGTTGAAAGTGCTTCGTATCAAGTATTTTGGTAGAGTAGTGCTACTGTTATCAATCAAGAGAGATCCTCAAGGCCTCCGTTCTTACACTGAACATGCGGCAATGGGCTTTTTTTGTGTGTGTCAGGAGTGACTTGAGAAACTTCAAGTCACTTCTGGTATGAGATAATTCACCATCTGCAAGGATGTTGCCAAGAGGAGGCCCAGGTGTTTTACTATCCTGTGGGAGGCTTTTCTCATGTCCCCGCATGTGAAGCTGGAGCTAACAGACAGGAGCTCACCCCGCTCCCCACATTCGAACCACCGACATTTCGGTCAGCAGTCCTGCCAGCACAAGGGTTTAATTTACTGTGCCACTGGGGCTGAAATAAAAGTAAAATATTTCTTAGGTCTCCAGCTGGCCTCTGAGCAGCTCCCCCTCGTGGCCACTCCATGAAATGATGTTCCATCATCAGCCACATGTGGATTTTCACTCAGTTCCTATGTTTCCTTTTAACAGAGCAAAGAACCACGCCTGGCTCGGGTAACCCCAACCCCCACTCGGCGGATATTTGCCCTTCCAGACACAGAACCCCACAGAGATCCCCGGAGAGCGTGAGTAATCTGCCACTGGTGAGCCAAAGTGTCAGGCTTGGGTTTGAATCCTCATTTACCCACAAAATATAACTTACCACCTTTGTTCAAATGGGATCCTTTGCAGAGTTATTATCTCTACTCCTTGCTATCCTTGCAACCAATCTACTCAATTTATGATCATATCTAGATAAATAATAAATAAATAACTTTATTTATATTCTGCCCTAGGAGGTGATTAGCTGGGTCAAGTGTACTCAGGGCAGATTCCAGCAACAGAAGGCCTATACATATTCAATGCCTATACATTTTTTATTTTATTTTTTGTTGTGTCAGGAGCGACTTGAGAAACTGCAAGTCGCTTCTGGTGTGAGAGAATTGGCCGTCTGCAAGGACGTTGCCCAGGAGACGCCTGGATGATTTGATGTTTTTATCATCCTTGTGGGAGGCTTCTCTCATGTCCCCGCATGAGGAGCTGGAGCTGATAGAGGGAGCTCATCCGCCTCTCCCCGGATTCGAACCTGGGACCTGTCGGTCTTCAGTCCTGCCGGCACAGGGGTTTAACCCACTGCGCCATCGGGGGCCTATACAATAAAAACTACAGATACATTTACAGACCACCCAGTATCCAAAATAAACCACTTTAGACTCACATATATTGAATTAAACCCGCATGTCAAATCTTTGGAACCTTTGAGTCCTGGTGGCATTGATGCTTCAAGATTTTGAGGAAAATGCAAGCTGTAGTTTAATACAGTTTGAGCATCCAGTATCTCAAAAAACAGGGAGCAGAAGCATTCTGTATTTTGGATTTTCCTGGATATTTGAGTACTTGCACATACATAATGTGATCTCTTGGATATGGGACCCAAGTTTAAACACCAATTTCACTGATATTTCATATCTACCTTATACATATTGTCTGAATGTAATTGTATGCATATTTTTTGCATAAAGGAAAGTTTGTGTATACTGAATCCCCAGAAAAGAAAGGCATGACTCTCAGCTACCCATATGGACATTTTTGGATTTTGGAATTTTGAATCAGGGATACTAAAACCCAGACACCCTTGGTGTTACTTAATAATGGAAACCAAGAGGCCAAATTGTCATCCTGTGTCCCTCCACATGGTGATTGACTCCCTATTGCTGTCTTTCCTTACAATTGATCATGTTGGCTAGGCATGGTCAATTGTCTTAGCAACCTCTGGAGGTCGATGTGTTCTCCCCGCTCCTTATGGTGTATTAGAACACCTGGGAATATCCCCAGTTACATTGGATGAGCCAAACCTTGTTTTTTTTTTCAGGGACAGAAGGATAGGATCAGGTGAAATTAAATAACAACTTATATAGCTTTGAAGAGAGTACAGAAAGCTTCCAGAGAATTTGTTTCAACAACATCCACATAGTTTATTGGGGATTAAGAATATGAACTATGGTCCCAGTGTACCCAGTTCAGCTTTGCAGGGCAAACTGAATGTTGTTGATCTTAAGCAAGTATTTGAAGCTTAGAGTGATGCCCTCCCTTACATTTCCCTACTAAAGACATGTTAGAACTGTATTTTAAGAGTGATTAATTTATTTCAATGTTTTATGTAACTCTTTCCCTTATTAGTAAAAATGCATAATTGGACAAAGCAAGCAAGTATAATTGAGCAACTTTGATCAGAGTTCATGTTCCTACTTCGATATCAGCTGTGTTGTTTTCCAAATGTGACTTTCTTCTCACTTATGTATTGTACTCATAGGTATAAGGTAAAATGGGTTGTGAAATGAGGACAGAACTTTTTTAAAAAATCATATTGTCAAAGGCTTTCATGGCTGGAATCGCTGGATTGCTGTGAGTTTTCCGGGCTGTATGACCATGTTCCAGAAGCATTCTCTCTTGATGTTTTGCCTGCATCTATGACAGGCATCCTTAGAGGTTGTGAGGTCTGTTGGAAACTAGGAAAATTGGATTTACTTATCTGTGGAATGTGCGGGGTGGGAGAAAGAACTCTTGTCTGTTTGAGGTAGGTGTAAATGTTTCAGTTGACCACCTTGATTAGTATTTAATGGCCTAGCAGTTTCAAGATTTGGCTTCTTACTGCCTGGGGGAATCCTTTGTTGGGTGGTGATTAACTGTCCCTGGTTGTTTCTTGTATGGGATTCCCCTGTTTTTAAATGTTCCCCAGTATTGAAGAAATGAACAAAATCTGGCTACCAGTATTAAAAAAACCCTCTAAAAAAATAACAGTAAATAAAGAACAACACTCAAAAACAGTAGAATTCCAGACAACAAAAAATCAGGGCTAACAAAGGCAGTAAGGTTAATCAAGGTGGCCAGTTGAAACATTTACACCTACTTCAAACAGACAAGAGTTCTTTCTCCCACCCTGGACATTCCACAGATATATAAACCCCATTTTCCTAGTTTCCAACAAACCTCACAACCTCTAAGGATGCCTGCCATAGATGCAGGCAAAACGTCAGGAGAGAATGCTTCTGGAACTTGGCCATACAGTCCGGAAAACTCACAACAACCCAATCATAGAGTAATTTCTAAATCAGACATGATCTGCATAAATTTAAAAGTGAACATCCAATGACAACATTAGAGAGAAAAAGCTATTTGTTCTGCTTATGATGCTGGACTGATGGGTGGGAAGACGGTATAGAATTCAGGCAGGCAACATCAGTGAGAGAGGACTGACATACAATTTTGGGAGGCTTCTGAGTTAAAAGTCTTGAGTTCTGGATAGCCAAGGGTTGGACTGCTGAAGCTTTCTGGAAGGTTTTATTTTTTTCAGGAGGGGCTCTCTAAACACACTCTTGCGCGTGCTGTCTCTTTCTGTCTTCCTCTCTTTCCTTTCTTTGCTTGCTCCTTTCCCACAGAAACTTAGAAGGTGGCCTTCAGATGAAGATAGATACAGCCCTTGTCCCACACCAGTCCCTCTCTTCCACTGCCATCAGCTCTGGCATGGATCCCCAGGATCGCCGAAGGTGAGGGTTGGTGAGGCCAGGGGCAGCTAGAGCGGAAAGCAGTTGACAACCACCATACAGGGCCTCAGGGATCAAATACAGAGGACTTGGGTATCAAAGGAGAAAGTCCTGTCGCTTCAGCCACATCTCATTCTCAGCTTCTGTGCCTCACATTTCTATGACTTTGTATTTCTGTTAATTCAGCCTCTCTGCAAAGGCAGCCACATCTTCGTGCCAAGGGAGCATAACTTGCTCAAAGAGCCATTCCCAAGACCTCCAGCCACTTCTGATATCAGGGGGCTTCAGCATGTTTAGAGATCTGTTTGCCATATATTTCCCTGCCAGGTTAGACAAAATAGTAGAATCATAGAATTGGTAGAGACCTCGTGGGCCATCCAGTCCAACCCTCTGCCAAGAAGCAGGCAAAATTGCATTCAAAGCACCCCCGACAGATGGCCATCCTGCCTCTGTTTAAAAGTCTCCAAAGAAGGAGCCTCCACTACACAGTGAAGCTAGGCAGGGCATCGGTGGGAGGATAGACAGGTAAACAGTCCAGGTAAACAGTAATTTTGTTCCAGGAATATCAGTAATGAGTCTTCAACCTTTACTGGCCATTTTGTTGGCTTAGGAAGGGGGCTTTAGGTGGTGAGAAAAAGCAGAATTAAAGGCTTCCTTCCCACCAGTGAACCATCTGAGTTAAGGTTCTTTGTCTGAAGGAAAAGGGGCCTCCCACAACAGAGATGAAGGGCATAATCAGAACCATTTAAATGCTATGCAACCATCTGCTTCAGATCATACCAGACGCCGGTGCGAGATGAAGAGTCGGAATCCCAGAGGAAGGCCCGTTCCAGACTCATGAGGCAGTCTAGACGCTCCACGCAGGTAAGCCGGCCCAAGAGAGCGAGTTCCCATGGCTTTGACTCAAAGCATTGGCAGCATGAACTGATGCTGACGTCTTCTCTTTTTTTTTGGCTGAGCTTGGAGATTTGGAAAGTGTTACACTGTGGATCAGTGATAGGGGGCATCTATTAATTAAAAAGCATCAAGAAAGTGACTCCTTTTTTACATAGTCTTTTTATGGGCATCCAGCCCAACCCATCTTTCTCTTTTGCACTCTCTTTAGCTGATACTTTATTTTGCAGCAATTGGCATAGAACCTGCGGTGATGGCAGGCTGGCAAAGACAGACTTTTACAGTTGAGTTGCAGCAGTGTTTCTGCAGGAAACAGTGCAATAATGCCTCACCTGGGAAAGAATGGATTTATGCCATAGGTGATTGTACTGCAGTTTTTTTTTCATGTCAGGAGCGACTTGAGAAACTGCAAGTCACTTCTTGGGCAAGAGAAGTGCAAGGACGTTGCCCAGTCGACACTTGGATTTTTTTAACAGCCTGTGAGAGGCATTTCTCATGTCCCCATATGGGAAGCTGGAGCTGACAGACAGGAGCTCATCTGTCCCCCCGTCCCTCCGTCCCCAGATTCGAACCATCAACCATTCAGTCAGCAGTTCAGCTAGCACAAGGATTTAACCCATTACATCACTGGGGACTCCCTGTGTGCAAGATAAACAGTTGTTTGTGGAGAAAATCTAAAATAAAAGAGGGAAGGGATTAACTTGTTTGACAAGCTATCCTGGAGGGTTTAAAAAAACCATACATTTTATGAAAAAATGAAAATCATAATAAAGATGAAGCCTGGTGAAAGAAAAAAAATAACCTAAGCTGCATTTTAGAAGAAGCTTTGAAGTGGTCTTAGATGATTCAACATGTTTTTGCTTATGCAAGGTTTACCTGACCTAAATCTTTCATTTCACATGTTCATAATGTTAGTTACATTAAAAAAAAATTGCGGAAACATGTTGACCTGCTTTTTGACCTGTTTTGTGGTATAGAAATCTATCCCTATCTTTTTCATTTTGTTTCTGTCTCTGGTAGCAGAGTTTCTGCTAAAGAAATAATGTATTGGGCTGTTGTGAGTTTTCCGGGCTGTATGGCCATGTTCCAGAAGTATTTTCTCCTGACATTTTGCCTTCATCTATGGCAGGCATCCTCAGAGGTTGTGAGGTCTGTTGGAACTAGGAAAATGGGGTTTATATATCATTTTCTTAATTTCCATCAGACCTCACAACCTTTGAGGATGCCTGCCACAGATGCAGGTGAAACGTCAGGAGAGAATGCTTCTGGAACATGGCCATACAGCCTGGAAAACACACAACAACCCAGTGATTCCGGACATGAAAGCCCTTGACTATACAAATAATGCATTACTCAAGATCTGAGATGTACCTGTAGTGCCAATAGCAATCTATAGATGTCACTGTGTTTCTCCTTTGGACCCATTTTTCATGCATCTTCTCTGTTTCTCTTTTCCAATACTTCAAGGGTGTTACCCTCACAGATCTAAAAGAGGCGGAGAAGACCATGGGCCGGACCGGGGATTCCAAAACCGTGTCAGAACAGCGAAGCAAAGAGGATGAGAAGCATGACAAAGATGGAGAGCAGCATGGCCAGGAGACTATGGTAGAGGCTGGGGTGGGATTCAGGCCTTTCATCCCTGTAGGAACTTAGAGACCCCGATGTCATGATACAAGTCCTGTGGTCTAATCTAGAATGGAATTGATTTGTTATATTAGTCCTCCATCTTTCAGGATAAGACCTAAAATACATCAGAAAGAAAAGCATTAGATTTTTTTTTGCCAAATTACATAACATCTGTACTAACCATTGTGATAGGGAAACTAACCCGAGGAGTGACCATCACTCAAAAAATGAATTTTGTCATTTGGGAGTTGTAGTTGCAGGGATCTATATTTCACCTACAATCAAAGAGCATTCTGAACTCCACCAACAATTGAATTGAAACAAACTTGGCAAACAGAACTCCCATGACCAACAGAAAATACTAGAAGGGTTTGGTGGTCATTGACCTTGAGTTTTGGAGTTGTAGTTCACCTACATCCAAAGAGCACTGTGGGCTCAAACAATGATGGATTTGGACCAAACTTGGCATGAATCCTCAATATGCGCAAATATGAACACAGGTGGAGTTTGGGGGGAATAGACCAAGAACCCCCATCACCAACAGAAAATACTTAAGGCCACAGTCCAACTCCCTTCAGCAGGGCAAGAAAATGTAATCAAAGCCCTCCTGACAAAGAGCCATCCAGCCATAGATATAGATAGATAGAGATGATTCACACACAGAGAGATACAGTATCATAGTTTTGAAAGGGACCCCTAAAGAAGGACAGTTATATGTTGCATGTTCCAGAGTAGGAATACCAGACCATCTCCACATCAGCACTGACAAAGTAACAACAAGAAATACTGTTTACTCACAAGCATGAAGAAATTACATATATTAGAAACCAACACTTTCTCATTACTTTATTTTCCAGATCACAAGACTGGGCCTCAGCAACATGTGGCAGGGGATAGCTCAAGATAGATAGATGCTCAAAACTGAGACATTTCTCCTCCAGAAAGCATTTTACATTTTAATTCGTTAGTTGCTATTATCGGTTCTATTTTTGGCTTTTCCATAACACAATATTTTAATACTGAAATAGGCCCTATTATTGTCTGATTGCTTTTCTTGGATTTTTAGACTTCTAAAATTATAAAAAGAGGGCATATTCCAATTAGCGTGTATGTAAATATAATAAATAAACCCTTGTTTAGTACACTTGTGACAAGTTTCCTTTTTTTCCCCCCTGTTCAGGACTCTTCTAGAAGATTTCGGCTCTCCAGTTCAGACAGTGCTTCAGTTTATACTGTGAATCCATTAGTGGTGAATTCGCAGCCCAGAAGGGGTAATAGCTCTATTCAAGTAGAAAATTTATATATCTTTCTTTGTTTTCGTTTTTCCTGTTTAATTTTTCTGAACTTTGGACGTATACTAACTTATGTACAACTACAACCTCCTATATACCTTTATTATTAAGGCAAATTTAGGCATATGTTTGCTGCAATGTTGTTGTAGGGAAATCTTAAACTTTCTTACTAGTTCTCTTCCGCACAACATAGTTGATATTGTGCTTGTATTTCCTGCCCAGTTTACTGTATTGTTGCACTTTCCTGCGCTCCTGTAAAAATTTATTGCACTCATTGAATCTGTACCTCAGCTATGTTTCTTTCAACCATATTGTTTTTATATTGTTTTCAATTGTGTTGTTATTTGTTTTATCTGATGTCTTAATTGGTTAAAGTGTTTTACATGTGTGTTTTAATTGTAATCTTGGACATATCCCTTGTAAGCCGCCCCGAGTCCCCTTGGGGAGAAGGTTGGCGGGGTATAAATATAAAGTTGTTGTTGTTGTTGTTGTCATTGTTATTATTAGTTTGAACACATGGAGGTGTGTCCTAGGTGAATGGGAACCTGGATGTAAGCTTCACATCTCACTGTGTCCTGTAGGCTCCGAAGCTGATGAGACCAGCTCAGAGGCAGATTCAGACCTCCGGAACAGATTGGCTATTCGGGACCGCAGGAAAGGCCGTCGAGAGAGACGCATCACCGGATTGGGCGGAAACTCAGAGGTGAATGGGGGAGAGGGCTTCAAATAGGGTTGCTATGGTGGAGGGAAGGCACAGTGAAGTTCAAGCATCAGTAGGGGGTGATTTCAGTGGCTCAGTGGGTAAAAACACTGAGCTGCTAAAGGTTGGTGGTTTGAATCCGGGGAGTGGGGTGAGCTCCCGCTATTAGCCCCAGCTTCTGCCAACCTAGCAGTTGGGCAGAACATGCAAATGTGAGTAGATTGGTACTGCTCCGGCGGGAAGGTAACAGTGCTCCATGCAGTCATGCTGGCTGCATGACCTTGGAGATGTCTACAGACAACGCTGGCTCTTTGACTTAGAAAAGGAGATAAGCACCACCTCCCAAGAGTTGGACACAACTAGACTTAATGTTGAGGGGAAACCTTCACTTTCTCCTCAGAAAAACATTGTCTTATGGGTGATGCTATCTCCCTTGAGTCATTACCTAGGGGGTAATTTAAACTCCATGGAGAACTTAGAAACTATTGTACATTATCTTTGCAAACATTCTAGAGGAGCTCATATATTCCCAATTTCTTTCTCTCCTCCAGGGTGAAGATGATGAAGATGCTGAGCAAGTCAACAATGAAGATCCCTCTGGACATGGCAGGTAGATCCCCTTGAGAGGATTCAACAGTTTAAGCTGGGTTGTGCAGAATACATTAGTAGGTGTGGATTCATGCATTCCCTGTTGGATGGCAGTTTGTTTTCCCAGTACAAAATATATTTTTTCAAATAGGGTTTTCCTTGACCATGCAGTCAAAATCAATTGTGAATAATCCAATAATATGCAAATATGGGAACAAGTTTTTGTTTTCTTTTCAGTTTGCTATTAAATCTTTATCGTTGTATGAGTTCCATGACCCTAGCTTCCTTGTCCCTTTTCAGTGAGCACCTAAATAACCTCCTACCAAACCGGACAGCTCCCTACAGCTGCCAGAGACGGAACAGCGCTTCATCGGGTTGCAAAGAGGAACCCGATCACTATTACAAGAAAGTTAGTGATTTAAGCTGGAGTACATGCTTCCTCTGGGAGGAGACTGTTGCAAAGGGATGCTGGCTTAGTGATATCAGTGCTTTTCATTTTCCCCTCTGTGTCTTTCAAAGTTGTATGAAGATCTCTCGATAGAGAATGAAAAACTAAAGGAACAACTACAAGAAGCACAGCTGCAGCTGACGCAAATCAAGCTGGAGCTAGAAAGAGTGACTCAGGTATGGGTGGGGCAGGTATGGGTGGGGAGTGGCCACTGAGGGATAGAGTGATAATTTTACATATAATAGGAAGCCAGTTGCGGGTATGTTGTCAATCAGTCCCTGAAAACAAACCAGGGTATTTTTAAAACAAGCATCAAGCTTAGAAGGCATGATTACCGTGTCTTATGAGCTGTGGATTGATGAAATTATGGTCTCTCCCTGGTTTGTTTCATCAGGTAGCTTTAGCTGACAAAAGGAGTTGGAAGAAAACCAGATCAAAAGTGAGGAAAACAAATTGTGGTTTGTTTTGCCTGCAAAAGCCATTCACAGCTTAAGCAGCAAAACATAGATAACACAAACATGGATAACCTGTGGCAAAGAAAGAGAGAGAGAACAGAGAAGTCCATAATATATGTGATTATATTTTATCTTCTGGCCAATGTATACCTATTAGGATTGGGTGTGAACTAATATAGCCTAGTGGTTAAGAGTATGAGCTACTAACTAGGCAAAAGTTAATATTATTTCAATTTTAACTCAGCAGTAAGACATATGTCTCCTGCTTATGTCATCAGTTGGGGACCCCTCCCTCAGCACAAACTGCCACTCTGGGCCAGAGTGAAGGGGGGGGGGGGAGCAGTTCCATCTTGTCTCCTGCATATGACATCAGCTGGGGACCTCTTCCCCAGCACCAGCTGGCGCTCTGGGCCAGAGTGAAGAGAGGGGGGGCCAGGGGACAGTTCCACCTTGTCTCCTGTGCTATGCTAATAATATAATATAATATAATATAATATAATATAATATAATATAATATAATATATTGTATATACATATAATATTATAATGTAGTGCAATATAATACTAATAATATGATATTATAATTATATATTTATATTACATGTAATATGACTAATAATATTACAATATACTGGTATAGTACAATATAGTAATATTTAATACTGATATTGCACTGTGCTAATAATATAATATATTCTGTGTATATATGTGTGTGTATGTGTGTGTGGCGCAGCTGGCTGAGTGTCAGCTGCATTAAGATCACTCTGATCAAAAGGTCACGAGTTCGAAGCCAGCCCGGGTTGGAGTGGGTTTCCAACCAATTGTGTGTAGCCTGTTGTCAGCCTTTGCAACCCGAAAGACAGTTGCATCTGTCAAGTAGGAAAATTAGGTACCACCTTAAAGTGTGTGGAGGCTAAATTAACTAATGTATGAGGCCATAAAAAAGACTCCAGCAAAGCACTCCAGCAAAAAGCATGAGGGGAATGCGGAAGTACTTCATCAGTGTTGCAGATGGATGATGAAAGCGACAGCTCCCCTGGTGGCCAGAAAAAGTTAAATAGCCTCTGTGTATGTCTGTATACGTTGTATGTCGAAATTGGCATTGAATGTTTGCCATATATGTGTTCATTGTAATCCGCCCTGAGTCCCCTGCAGGGTGAGAAGGGCGGAATATAAATACTGTAAATAAATAAATATGTATGTATGTGTATATATATATATCTTGTAAGCCACTCTGAGTCCCTTTTGGGATGAGAAGGGCGGCATATAAATGTTGTAAATAAATAAATAAAATATGGTAATAAGGAAAGCACAAACTAGGAGCCCTTCCACACAGCCATATAACTCAGAATATCAAGGCAGAATATCCCACAATATCTGCCTTGAACTGGGTATCTGAGTCCACACTGCCATATATTCCAGTTCAAAGCAGAAAATGTAGGATTTTATTCAGCTGTGTGGAAGGGGCCTAGGTAACCTGAGGCAAATCTTAAGTCATCTCTTGTAACTTTACCTCTCCATCTGCAGTATTGCCCTGTCTTCTGGAGTTTTCAGAAAATGACTTCAATCCTTCCACAAAGCTGTATAAAATCCACATTCAACTGGATTATATAATAGTGTGGACTCAGATAACCCAGTTCAAAGCAGATATTGTGGGATTTTCTGTCTTGATATTCTGGAGTATATGACAGTGTGGAAGGGCCTTTAGTTAAGAAGCATTTTGAAATGTATGATAGAAATGCTTCCTGCCCTGAGAACAAGGTATTCAATCTTCTTCCACAATCTCCTATCTAAGTATTATGGTCTTCAACAGATACCGTGCTTAAGGAAATGCTTGCTCTTACAGCCCAGACAGACCACCAGCCCTTTCTGTACTTGCATTCTAACCGAGGACCATCTTTTCAAATATGAATTCTTTTCAACCCCTTAGTTTGCTGTCATTATGATTCTCATGTTGTGTCTTTTGTGTCATTATTCACCTACAGAGGCAAGAGCGTTTTGCTGAGCGGCCAGCTCTCCTTGAGCTAGAGAGATTTGTAAGTACCTCTTTCCACTTCTCTTCTTTCTTTGCCCTTTTCTAGATAATTTTGCCCCGGTGGCGCAGCAGGTTAAAACACTGAGCTTCTGACCTTGCTGATCAAAAGGTCAGCGGTTCAAATAAGGGGAGTGAGGTGAGCTCCTGCTGTTAGCCCCAACTTCTGCCAACCTAGCAGTTTGAAAACATGCAAATGTGAGTAGATCAATAGGTACCGCTCTGGTGCAAAGCCACATGCCACATGACCTTGGAGGTGTCTATGGACAACGCCGTGTTTTTGGCTTAGAAATGGAGATGAGCACCACCCCCCAGAGTCTGGCTCAACTAGACTTAATGTCAGGGGGAAAGATTTACCTTTACTTAGATGATATTGCATCACAAAATCTACATTCTAAGGATCTTTCTGGATTCAGGAGGTTTTACTGTGGGAGCATCTCTGAAGTTGTCGTTAAAGAATATCCTATATTACATATAGATTCAGGGAGGGGTCTGGCATTTTCCCATGCTCATTCTCAAATGTCAACCTGCTCATTCTCAAACTTCTTGTAAAGATTGTTAATCTCTAGATGCTATTCATATTTCTAAGCAGAGTCGTTCATGCCAAGGGTGGGCAAAGAGCAGATTGCAGACCGCCAGAAGTTTCAGTGCAGCTCCCTTTCTGTGCCAGATGGAAAAGGGGAGATGATTTGCTATTTAAAAGCTATCTTGCCCATTCCCCCACTCGCTATCTAAAATGGTATTTCTAGAAACCAGAAGTAACCAAAAAGCTGCTTTGTATTTTCTAAACATAGCCATTTTAGGTTTGAAAAAAGATAGCAGGGGAGAGTTGAAATAGGCTCAGAATTGTGCCCCAAGGATTGAAGATGTTGTTTACTCCCTCCAAAAAATTGGTGGGTGGAAATGGCCCCTGGGCTCTCACCATTTGATTCCTCTGTCTTAAGTTTTGCCTGTGACAGGCTCCTGATTCAGCACTCTTGTTTTTTTCTAATTTTGCATGCGTGGGTGGACTGAAGTAAATTTAGGCTACACAAGACTGAAGTCAGCCTACTTCTCTTCTGTTGAGATGGGCTTCATTAGTATGGCATAGCGTGCTTCTTAAAAAGCTTTGACACACTCTATTTTCCCCTTGCCTCGCCAGGAACGTCGAGCTTTGGAGAGGAAAGCCGCAGAGCTAGAGGAAGAGTTGAAGGTAATTCCCATCTGTTTGGATGACACTGGGGTCTCGTTCTGGGGGCTGCCATAACTGAGAGTATTTTGTTTCGGTCTGTTTGTGGAGCGCAGCAATGAAGGTTTGCACCAGATCCATTGGGTTTTTGATTTTGCCTTCTGTCTTACAGGCTCTTTCAGATTTGAAGGCCGACAACCAACGTCTCAAAGACGAAAATGCCGCTCTTATCCGCGTTATCAGCAAACTCTCCAAGTGACCACTGCTGCCATGGCCCCTTGATGAAGTGGGGCCTAATTCTGCGCTTTCCTTCTTGCGCACCAGATCCTCAGTGGGGACAGGAGAAATACATGAGGAGAGGGGCAGCCAAGTTTGTATCGCCACCAAAAACACTCCAGATTTGGGCTCTTCCAAGCATCAGCCAATCAGAAGCCCACCAACTATGCTTTTCTACAGAGAAGGCCAAGTTTGTCATCAGAAACAATGTCTTGCACGTACCCTTTTTCTTTTCCCCCTTTTTCTTTTCTCTTTCCCACTTCAGAGACAGTATTTATTTTGTGGCTTCCTTACAGTGATGTTATTTGCTTGTTGCTTTTCCTTCAGTGAACAAAGGGAGTGAGGGTGATAGGAGCCATGCTTTTTGGAGGTTTGTAGAAGTGGCGTGGCCACAATCCAGTTCAGCTTCTCTGGCAATAGGGGAGGTGAAACAACAGCTTGGAAGCAAAAGGCCAGACTTTAGAAGCTGTGTGAAGAGTAGGGTTAATGGGAAGCCTACTGTCTGGCCTATATGATTTGCTCCCCAATGGGAAAAGGGTCCTTAGGCTGCAGGCTTGAACCCAAGAGCAGCATTGTCCCGGCACTGGTCATCCCATGGCATGGGAGAGAGGTTGTCTGGACTCAGTCCATGCAAGCTCTCACAGCATGATGAAGACTTAATTAATTGGTCATTGCATAAAATGCTGCCAGAGGGCAGATGACTCAAAGTTGTAGGGTGAAAGGTTGCATTTAGTAAATGACACTTGTAGCAGAGGGGAGCACAACCCATAGCCTGTGGCTACATCCCATGTAGCCTTGAAATCGAGTGGAACTCCATCCACTTTTCTCTGTAGCGTAACAATTAATTGGGCTGCAAGGATAGTGGTGGTAGAAGTGCCGTTCTCTAGCTCCCCAATTCGCTCTCTTCATGCTACTTGTAGCACTGCATAGACCATGAACTTGGTAGAATATTGCTAGAGGATGGGAATGTTCCAAGATGTGTTTAGGAGAATGTAAGCTTTTGTGTAGAGATCGGTGTGTGTATGTGGCTCCAAGCTGTTACCACATGCAGAAGACAAGAAAGATTGTGCAGCCCTGTTGTAGAGAGCCAGGCAACTGGTCTGTGACCTGGAAAACCTAAGCAAGCAGCTTAGAACAGGTCGATAGGGTGGGTGGGGAAATGTGATTGTATGAGGCATTGTAGCCACAGCCTGTTTGAGGCCTTGTACGGTTTAATCAGAGGGAGAATCAAGTTGACTGTTATTTTATTTTTTAAATGGTGTGTGTGATTGTCTGCCTTTCGGTTGTCTCGAACCAAAGGGACGGGGGAGCGCTGAGAGGGCATTAAATAGCAGACGGGATAGTATTAATTGCTGAGAAGAGTGTGAAGTGCCATAGTTGTGGTGAAGGGAGACAGAACCAGGGGTATGGTTACAGTTGCTCCTTTCCCTTGGGCAATTGACTTTGACTCCTGTCCTTTTTCCACAACCTTGTTTTGTTTAAATGTGAGTTTGGCCCTCAATTGTCCAGCGTTAGGCCAGACTCCAGAGGCCGTTTGTACTCCTTCCTTACCGGAATCAGGTCTAAGGCCAAGCCCAAAAGAAGTGTCCCCTTTTCTCTTTATACCTTCTGGACACTACCCAGTCCAGCTGCAAGGTGGTCCAAATGTTTATAACCCTGGTGTCTGGCATGGATAACAGAGGCCAAATCCAGCGTCCACATTTGACATTGCCCTAATTGCCAACCTTTGACTCCCCGCTCCTCTTCCTCCAGAAGCTCTGCTTCCTTGACTCCTCCCTGGACTCCGCTGCTGCTTTCCTAGAGGCTGTGCGGGGTTCTACATGTCTCTCCCGCATTCTTCTTCCTGCACGCACACAATCAAATATTTTCAACGTTATAACTGAGGGCTAGAAGTACTTCCAAGTGAAACTGAGGGCTAGAAGTAATTCCAAGAGAAACGGGTCCAAAGTACTACCCTGAAAATCCTGTGTGTGTGTATGTGTGTGTTTTTCCTGCGCTATCATGAGCCAAGATTCCTCTGCCAAAATAAATAATCCATTCCTTTTTGCCATGCCCACCCTTTTATTCCCATTCCCCTTCCTTCCCCTCCACCTGCCTTGGTCCATGAATTCCCCTCCCCAAACATATCTGTACATAACAGAAGTATTTTCTATATGGCTGCATCGCCAACAAAAACAAGAAGAAGAAATGCAGAAAAACCTAAATGTGCAATATCGCATGAGTATTTTTTTTCCAAAGAAGTCTCTATATTGTACTTGTTTATTCAGCAGCTCAGCTGCATTTGTTTTAAAGGACAGGGAAATGAAAGTTACCGTGTTTGACTATAATTAAAAATGATGAAAAATTGGTCCTTGACTATGCTTGTTTCTTCATATGCAATGAACTTGTTTGATTAAATTTTAGTTTAAAAGATTTGAGTTGGTGTAGTGTGTAAGGGTGGGGAAAAACATCTGGTTTGCTGGATATTTTGCACTACAAATCTCACAGTTGGCCATGGGGGGTGAAGCTCCCAAGAGGTGCCAGCCATAGCATTTTTTAATCAGTGCTCAGTCATGGAAGCCTGCAAGGGGAGTTGGGCAAGTCACGCTCCTCCAGCTGCAAACCTCCTCAGGATAAATCTTTCCCAGAAAACTTTATGGAGGTAACTCAAGAGTGACCTGAAAGTCCCATAACAGTTATTTTGAACAAACAATCAAGAGTATGAAGCTGCTTAAATGTTTAACTATAAAAATGTTGGCATCAACAGGAAGAAAGCCAGCAATCCTATAAACATTAAGGTCTGTTTTAAAGAGGAACTGATGGGCATTATCATTTATGCATTTCAAGCAAGATTGGTAATTCCATGAGGAATAGAAAGACGGTGGTGATTGTGTGCCTTCAGTTTCCAACTTGTAGTTATACTAAGAATTTTATTGGCTACATTATTTATAGATGGGTTGCTTTTGCCTTCATCTGAGGCCGAGAGTGCTGACTTGCCCAAGGTCACCCAGTGGGTCTCAATGGCTGAGTGGGGATTTGAATCCTGGCTTTGTCTGAACTTTTTTGTGCAGTTGGATGATGATGATAATGATAATGATAACTTTATTTTATACCCCGCCTCCATCTCTGGACCGCTTACATGGGGCCAAGCCCAATGTAAGGATACTGGATGCTGCATTAGTTGGGTCTTTTTAGAAGAACAATTATTTTATTTTTTATTATGTCTGCAGCTCTATCAAGAGTTCCTAATCCTGTGTGACCTCCTGACCCATTCCCTTTCCACTTTACAAATATAATTTTCTAGTATTAATATTAATAATTAAACCACTGAACTGCTGAACTTGCTGACTGGAAGGTTGGCAGTTTGAATCCAGGGAGCGAGGTGAGCTCCTGCTATTAGCCCCAGCTTCTGCCAACCTAGCAGTTCGAAAACATGCAAATGTGGGTAGATCAAAAGGTACCACAGGAAGGTAATGGTGCTCTATGCAGTCATGCAGGTCCCATGATTTTGGAGGTGTCTACGGACAATGCCGGCTCTGGGTTAGAAATGTAAATAAGCACTACCCCCCCCCCCCCGAGTCAGACATGACTAGATCAACATTTACCTTTACCTTTTATTACATTGTGAAAGGATGCTAAGGACTTTGCTTTGGAAATCTCAGACTGAAACCCACCCATTCCAGTTTCAGAAAACACAGAAGTTGTGATCCTCAAATTCAGGACTCAGTTCACGTTGGCTTTGCCAGTTGGCCCTTGCTTTATATACATTCTGTCTTTTGCATCTTACCTTACATCTTGAATGCTAGTTTCCACTTTTTTTATTGTGTCAGAAGCAACTTGAACACATACTGCAAGTTCTACTGAATTATAAATTTATTTCATCCAGATGGAGGAAGCTTCTTCTAGGAAGTGGCTTTAATAACCCAATTCCCCAGTCATTTCTCCAAAAGGCCCAGGCCTTCTTCCTTCTAGCTCCAGTGCTTCAACCAGCCACCTGCCACATCCAGCTCCATCCTGTGATGCTAAGGTATTTGCCATAAAGTTGCATAACCCATCCTCCTTGTGCTCACAGGGTAAACTAAAGGTAGTCACCGGGTTACAATGTGACTTCAGGCATGACTCATGGTGTTCTGGAGCCTCTCCTCAGACTAAAATTAGAGATGGCCTTTGCTCCACCCTTCAGTCTTCTCTTCCTCCCCAGGCTAACCCTAACCTTCCAGAATGGTAAGGATGTCAAGGCAAGGTGTTGCCCCTCGGGCAAGGATGATGCATCTTCCCTGAGTCTCCCTCCACCTCAGAATAACAAGGACTTTGAGCTGTGCAGTGTGGTGCATCATCCTACAGATAACCTTGGTCCTCCCAGCCTCAGTGTTGAAAAAGTAGGAGGGAAAAACCTTCTAATCCCTGAAAGAGTTTGTTTTGGAAGAGAAATGATGGCACAATGTAGGGATTTGAGTGTTGGACTATGACTCTTGAGAGACCAGGATTCGCATCCTTGCCAAGAAAATCCTATGATAAGGTCACCATGCGTCATTCCCACTGAATTATAAATTTCTTTCATCCAGGTAAAGGAAACTTCATACAGGAAGTGGCTTTAATAACCCATTTCTCCAGAACACCATGCTTCTTCCTTCCAACCCCAGTGCTACAATCAACCACTTGCCACATCAAGCTGCTAGCCTGTGATACTAAGGCATTTGCCATAAAGTTGCATAACCCATCCTTGCTGTGCTCATTGGGCAAACTAAAGGTAGTCAAAGTGGCATAATGGGTTAAACCCTTGTGCCAGCAGGACTGCTGACCGAAAGGTCAGCGGTTCAAATCCGGGGAGCGGGGTGAGCTCCCATCTGTTAGCTCTAGCTTCCCAGGCGGGGACATGAGAGAAACCTCCCACAGGATGGTAAAACATCCGGGCGTCCCTTGGGCCATGTCCTTGCAGATGACCAATTCTCTCACACCAGAAGCGACTTGCAGTTTCTCATATTTCTCATGTTTATTGATTGATTGATTTACGACATTTATGTGCCGCCCTTCTCAAGGGGACTCAGAGCGTCTTATATGTACATACAATATATTATATTATTAGAATAGCACAATATTAGTATTATATATTACTATATTGTACTATACAACTATACTGCAATATTACTAGTAATATTACTAGTAATATCACATGTAAATCTATATATATATAAATGCTCTGGTCATAATGAGTACCTTATAAACAAAAGAACCAACGAACGAAATCACACCAAATTTGACAACAAAACGTCTCGCAACACAAGGAGTGGCCATCACTCAAAAAATTATGATTTTTTCATTTGGGAGTTATAGTTGCTGGGATTTATAGTTCACCTAAAATTAAAGAGCATTCTGAACTCCAACAATGGAATTGAACCAAACTTGGCACACAGAACTCTCATGACCAACAGAAAATACTGAAAGTGTTTGGTGGGCATTGACCTTCAGTTTTGGAATTGTAGTTCACCTCCATCCAAAGAACACTGTGGACTCAAAAAATGATGGATCTGGACCAAACTTGACAGGAATACTCAATATGCCCAAATGTGAACACAGATGGAGTTTGGGGAAAATAGACCTTCACATTTAGGAGTTGCAGTTACTGGGATCTATAGTTCACCTACAATAAAAGAGCATTCCGAACCCCACCAACGATGGAATTGGGCCAAACATCTCACACAGAACCTCCATGACCAACAGAACAATGACCAAACAGAACAACAGGACAATGATATGTTGCATGTTCCATAGTAGGCAAACCAGACGATTTCCACATCAACACTGACAAAGAAACAAGAAGAAATACTGTTTACCCACAACCATAAAGACATTGCATATATTAGAAACCAACACTTTCTCATTACTTTATTTTCCAGCTCACCAGACTGGATCACAGCAACGTGTGGCAGGGGACCGCTAGTAAAATATAAATATGTCAGAGTTGATCTGAAGCTACATAACACAATGTTCACACCACCACCACCACTTGCTCCTTGTGGTTGTTTTTCTATCTCTATCCATTAGGGTTCTTCCTAGCTCTCATTTTTCAAGAACTCTTGAATGTTGTTTGCATGGAAAAAATGTCACTCCAGCAGTAAAAAGTGCAAGTTACATATTTAACTGAGGTATATGTAGGTTAAAGCTTCTCGGCTTCTTGTTCGGCTTGCATGTTGCCTATGCTAACAACTCACAGAGGCTATAAAATGTGTACAATCATTTGGGCTAGGCAACAGATTTATAGACGTTTCGGTTATTCATGAGGAAATAATTTTTGAGGCCCCACCTAGTCAAAGAGGGAGGCCTGCTGTGGGCAAGGCACAGGACTTCTATTTCCCCCAAGTGTTCCTTGCCAACAAGTCAACAAGTAGGAGGTACCACAACCCAGAGACAGAGCACATGTTTTGCAAACAAGTGTGTTAGAGACTTAATATCCTGGCATTTCACATTGAAAGGAACAATAGCAGGTAAGGTGAAACAGACTGGCTTGCGACATTTTGCAATCTGAAACAAAGAGCAAGATTGTGGATGGGATTTGCAGTTGTCCTTCTCCCATTTGGACAAAATCTTGTATCTGAAGATAGCAGTGTTGCTTAGAGGAAGCAAGGCAGGTGACACAACCTGTAGCTTTGACTTTCCACACCTTGCAACTACCATCCAGTATCTTCTGCTTGAGGCACTTGCTTCCCATTGCTTAAAGGCAGAACTGTCCTTGGATGTGAATAACCTTGGAAGATACCTTAAAGCAGCATTTCTCAACCTAGAGGTCGGGACACCTGGGGGGTCGCGAGGGGGTTTCAGCATGGTCACCATAGACCATCAGAAAACATATTTCTGATGGTCTTAGGAACTCCTTTGGCAGAGAAGGCTGAAGATCTCTCCGCCTGTCCTTTTCTTCCTTTTCGTAAACAGGCGGTGAATTGTCCCACCAAAAGCCCTCCTCTGCTGTGATTGGCTGTCCTCTCAGCCAAGGGTAGGTCTGTTTCTGAGACTGCAAGTGGAGAGGGGAAAGCAGGCATGCTTTGCGCATGGCAGCGTGGTGTGCATGTGTGGCTGAGGGAGAGCATGTGTAGGTGAACTACAACTCCCAAAACTCAAGGTCAATGCCCACCAAACCGTCCCAGTATTTTCTGTTGGTCATTGAAGTTCTATGTGCTAAGCTTAGTTCGATTACATTGTTGGTGGAGTTCAAAATGATTGTAGACTAACTATACATCACAGCAACTACAACTCCCAAATTTCTTCTGGAAGGTCAGGAGGGAGGGGCAGATCTAAACTCATTGGGGAGGGCATTCCACAGCCAAGGGGCCACCATGGAGAAGGCCCTGTCTCTCATCCCCACCAAACATG